TCACAAACATGCAGCACATACAAGCATCCTTTATTTACCTCATAGGCATTCTTGATATTCAAAGGCTGGCCAAAAGCTGCCACATGGCCTACAATTCCTTTATTCCATTCCAAGCGGATGCAGTTGTTTGAAGCTTCTTCTAAGGTGGAACCTTCTGCAACATCGAAGAGTCGGCTGATAAGAAACTTCTCATTGGAACTGTCCTCACAGACCAGAAAGAGGGAATAGCGATCAGCAGCTATGAGTTCATGGATGTGCAAGAAAATTTTGTGACAAAGGGCTGTGACATCCAAGTGACTAGAAATATCCTTCACCAGTTCTAAGAGCCTTGAGCATTGATCCCCTGCATTGGATCCAAGCGTCCGAGATTGGAGAGGCATCTGTTCCTTCTTTTCGGTATCTGACAAGAAACTCACTGTTCCAACAGAATCTTTGATAACAATGGGCCTAAGAGGTCTGTCAAATTCAGAAGCAGATATCTTCCTAGTTGGTGGGGTGGAATTAGTGCTTTCAGCCCGTGTGGTTTGGTAAGTGGAACAAGAACAAGCTTCACTGTGATGTTTGGTCCCTTCCTTGCACACTGGAATAGTATGAACTCTCTCAGAAAACCATGCATTGACCATCTCTCTGCATAAGAGAAGAATACAATAAATAAGAAGACAATCTGCAGAAGTAGTGTCGATGCTATGAGAAAAGAAGTACATTTGTACAGCCATATGCTTTTCCTCAGGATGTTCTTTATTTAAAACTAAAGGCTGAGGCTGCCTGGAATCTTCAGCAAGGGGCTGGCAATGTCTCTGAAGCCCTCAATGATATCTTGCAATGGCCTGGGTGAAAAAAACAGTCATCAAAAAATTGCAAGATTTTAGCATCCCATGAGATGTTGCAGAAGACCACTGAAAACTTGAAATCTCAAGATATTTCATGTTTTTAAAAATTATTTTAGTTTATAGAGGAACTGGTGGGCACCACTTTATCAACCCCTGATTTAGAAATTTGTGCTTCATAAACAAGATGCTCTTTCACATCAGATTGAATGATTAAAGGTTTTTCATATTTAATCTCAGATGCTCCTGTATACTTTTCCTTCCTATTCCTAATGAATTCAGAAGGGTAATAGATTTGAGACAGAAACTAACAGCCAACATATAAAGTAGACCTACCTACATTTGGTGCTTTAAAAAAACCCCTCACTAAAGTTATGATGCAAACCATCCAAATGTTATACTATTTTTCCTGTCAGTGTCAATTATTCACATTCTGGTTATTTACATTAATTTATTTTGCATACAACTATTTATGCAAGTTGCATGGAAGAGTACTGAAATCCTATTTCTTGAGCTCTAGATTTTTTGTTCAGTATCACCTTCCTTTCAATCAGCCTTCGATCATACTTAAGTTATACTCGTACAGCATTTTCAGTGTTCATGAAGCAATACATATATTGTGTTGCTCATTGATTAGATATCTTTTCATTCCAAAAACTTCCAGTTCTATTCCTGATGACTCTATGTAGGATAGGGAAATATTTCTTTCAGAAAAGTTGCAGAAACATTGTCAGTCATTGCAGACAATAATAATCTAGATAGAATAGTCCTTTCATCTTCAGGACAAGGCAGTGTTGCTGTTCCAGTCTACCACTTTGCAAGGACCATGTAAGGGAAAAAAGAAGAAATCAATCCTGAAAGCATAGGAACATCAACACAGCTAAATTGGGACTGGGAAGTGGACATAGAATACAAAATGGTATGACAATGCAAAGTT